GTTGTTTGGTTAGAAACTTAAACTTCAAAGTTTTCCATTACCTCATGTTGACCAGGTTTTTGAATTGATTCTACGTGTGTGTGTGTGTGTGTGTGTGTGTGTGTGTGTGTGTGTGTGTGTGTTTCATATACAATATGTTTTGAACTTTGACAAGTTTTATTTTCTTATCACTCTACATACTGGAGGGAATAAATATTAAATTCTCTACTTTAAGGAATTACTTCACAAATGACCCTGGACTATGTAAATTGCAAGATGTTTAACACAGAGAACTGAGACCCTTCCAGCTAGCTGCTTAGGTAAGGCCTAGGCTCTCCTAGGTCCTTCTGCCTCCTCTGGGAGCCTTTACTGCTCTGATTTAGAACTTTCAGTCCCAATTCCACTCTGGGAAATAGAGGCAACCTATTTTTAGTCTATTTGACTATTTGTTCCTAATAACAGAAATGAAGACAAAGACTGAAACATAAGTTAGATTGCAGGTATTCCAATTATTCGTGTTCCTCTATTAAGGCAGTCAAACAAGAGGCATGAAAAACATGTACAAAAATATCCAGAAAGGCATTCTCTAAAATAGGCAAAAACAAGGCACACTAATGTCCAACTGACAGAAAAACTCTGAAACAGCAGGAGACAATTTGGAATTGTTAATAAACTTAAAAACATTAGCATGTTTTTTAAATATTTATTTTTATCTTATGTGCATTGGTGTTTTGCCTGCATGTATGTCTGTGTGAGGGAACTGGAGTTACAGACAGTAGTGAGATGCCATTTGGGTGCTGGGAATTGAACCCAGGTCCTCTGGAAGAGAAGTCAGTGCTCTTAACTGCTGAGCCAACTCTCCAGCCCACAAACCAGTCTTTAAAAAAAACCCTTTTCTTAGTCAGACAGTGGTGGGGACTTTAATCTCAGCACTTGGGAGGCAGAAGCAGGTGGATCTCTATGAGTTCGAGGCCAGCCTGGTCTACAGAGTAAGTTCCAGGACGGCTAGGGTGATTACACAGAAAAACCCTGTCTTGAAAAACAAAACAAAAAAACAACAACAAAAGGAAAGCTATTCTTTTCAAATTCCATTTGCCTCCCTGGGGGTGTGGGGGATGCCTATCTGCCAAGGCAAACAGAGGGCAGCTGGGGAGTCTTTCTCCTCCTACTACACAAGTCTTGGGGATCAAGCCTGGAGACAGGTCTTAACCAGCCAAGCTGTTCTCACCTGGCTTAAGAACATCAATCCCAATCTTTGTAACAGTGTTCTAAGTTTCCACTAAAGTGTATGGAGTAATCCTAAAATTCCTATGGAAATGGAAGGAACCCCCAGAATGACCAAAACCTTCTTTTAAAACAGAAAAGAACTTGTAGGACTTACTTCCTACTTCCTGACTCCTCATACAGAGCTGTATGAAACAGTATAGTAGCAGCTGGCATAAAGTAGACAATAGAATAAAACTGAGAATTCAAAAATAAACTCATATATTCATGGTAAAGTGATATCTGAAAAAGATGCCACCAAAACCCAACGAGGAAAGAAGACTTTAAAAAAAAGAAAAAAAGATGCTGGAACAAATAAACATATACTTGCCAAGAATGAAGCTGGACTCTTTCTTTGAAAACACAGGATTAAGTTCAAATGGATCACAGAAGGAAATAAGGAGCTTAAACTATGAAACCTTATAAGAAAACAGGAGTAAGTTAGGGTACCCAAAAGCCTCTTAGGATAACAAAAGCCGAGGTGACATAAAAATGGACTTCACCAAGATTTCATCAAAATTAAAAACTGGACTGATGTTACCAATAAAATAAAAAGACGGTCTTCAGAATGGGAAAGGTATTTCCACACCACCTACTTTTGAGTCGTTGCAATGACCTCAGGCGGTGCTGGAGCTCCTTGTACCCGGTTTTCTCCTCCACAAGCGGGATGGCCCACAAGCAGATCAGTACTCAGGCAAGTACTTTGACAAGCACTACGGGTCCTGGCAGTCAATGTTACCCAGAGAACTCTCCACACAAGTACCAAACACTCATCTGAAGAGGAATGGAGACTGAGTGTCCAATAGAATGTAGAATGAGTTCATTACATGACTCATGAGCCAGAACCACATATTCTTCTCTTTAGAGGACCTCTTCCAAAAAAACAAAGCAAAGCAAAACAAAACAAAACAAAAAGTACACCTGGGGATCACCTAATCTTTTTCAAATGTATATGTGCATACAAGGTAATATTCAGTGAATACTTGAAAAATGCACAGATCTTTCATCCATACCTGTGCATGAGCTGTGTTTTTCACAGCAAGAGTTCAATGCAACTAGATTAATGCAAGTTCAATGCAAGTAGGTTAAGTTGTTAAAGATCAATTTTCTTGTAGTTTTTTTTTGATAAGTGTCTGTTTTACTTTACCTGTTGCTTTTGTTAAATAAAGCTTGTACACTGCGTTAAAAAATAAAGAAAGGGAGGAAGGATGGAAAGGAGGTAAGTAGGTGCACCTAAGGGTCGGGAATGGTAGTCAAGCCTTTAATCCCCACGGCCTGGGAAGCAGAGGCAGGCAATCTTGAGTTCAAGACCAACCTGGTCTCCATAGTGAATTCCAGAACAGCCAGGGCTATGTAAATAGACGCATCTCAAAAAACAAAAACAAAAAAGAAATGTGCACCCAGGGCTGACAGAAATGGCAGACATCTATATTCCCAGCATTTGGTAGGCAGAGGCAGGAGGATCAGAAAACCAGGAAACTGTCTTTAAAAAGTGGGCAAGTGCGGGCTGGAGAGATGGCTCAGAGGTTAAGAGCACCGACTGCTCTTCCAGAGGTCCTGAGTTCAATTCCCAGTAACCACATGGTGGCTCACAACCATCTGTAATGAGATCTGGCACCCTCTCCTGTATATATAATAAATAAATCTTAAAAAAAAAAAAAAGTGGGCAAGTTCGCGAGCGGAGGTGGGGTGGGGGAATCCAGAAGATAGAAAGAATTCAATAATAACAAAAAGGCAATAAAGATAATTCAGTTTTAAAAATGACAATGGATCTACACAGTTATCCAAAGAAAAATACTTAAAATAGGCAGTAAGAACAAGAAAAGTTCAACATCATTAGCCACAGAAAAACGCCGATCAAAAACACAAGATGATACTTAATGTCCACCATCATCATGCTATACCACAAAAGATGTATTGGTGAGCATATACCCGAGACACTGCTGTGCATTTGGACACCACGGCAACCTCTCTGACGAACAGTCTAGCAGTTGACTAACTAGTAATACAATTACCATCTACTTCTTGGCCCTCTGGCTAATCACGTGCAAATACAGTTAATCACATGACCCAGTAAATTCCACCCCCAAAAGAAATGAAAACATGTGCTCTGACAAACGTGTATAAAAGTGTTCACAGCAGAATTACTCATGATAAACAAAGAATAGCTATGATGGGTACCAAACATCCATCACCAAAGAATGGATAAAGAAAATGTGGAATGGAATATTATTTGGCCATAAAAAGGAATGAAATACCAACATGTACTATCTCGTGGATTACCTTTGAAAATATTGTAGTAAGTGAAACAATGCTGTCATAAGAGCACCATTATATGCTGGGTCCAGAAAAGACAGATCTGTAGAAGCAGAAAGATCAGTGGCTCAGGGGCTGAGGCTAGGGGCAAACTGGGAGTGTCTGCTAACGCGTACAGGATTCTTCCTGAGGTTATGAAATTGTTCTAAAATTGACTGTGGTGATGTCTGCACAAAACAATGAGGAACTCTTCACAATATGCACTTTAAATGCATGCACTGTACACATGGAAAAGGAACCTCAATAAAAACCGCTCTTTTAAAAAACACCACGGCGTACAGATGTTTGTGGGAAACGAGTTATCATTCGAAAAAGTAACTATGAAGTGATTGTATTACTTGAGCAAGCCCATGCTTGAGACAGAATTAAGAACCTGAGATAGCAGTGGCTGGTGTGACTGGAAGCTGACGCCTTTCAACACTTCTACACCTTACCAAACAGAAACTGCGGTATGTGCAAATTGTCGGACCATAAAAACCGAGTCCGGCCAAGATACCCAAGTAAACACGTTACTTTCCTGTACTTGCCATTCTCGGGCAAACCGTAACTGCACGCCGCCCGCACTCCGCAGGCAGACCAGAGGAGTGTGGGGAGAAGGAGGAAGGTCCCTGAAACCCAACTTCCACGGGCTTTGTGAGCAGGCCCGGAGGCAAAGTCCTGGGCGCAGCCCCACGAGCCCAGCGAGCCGCGCGGCCGGGAGGAAGTGCCCAGCCCGCCCGATCGCCGGCCCGATCGCCGGCCCGCGCACGGACTCTGCGCGGGGCTCCGGGCCTGCGCCGCGGGAAGCAGACCCGCAGGGCGCCCGGCTCCCGCGCCCGACGCCGCGCACGCCCCGTCGGCGCTTTGTCCCCGCCCGGCGCCGCGGGCCCTCGGGAGTCCCCGGCGCGGCTCCCGGGCCCCGCGCAGCTGCCAGCCCCGGCGCCCCGCGCAGCTGCCAGCCCGGAGGACCCGGTGACCGGAGAGCCTCGGCCCCGCGGGCACTCGGCCGGGCAGTCCCCGGGCCGCGGACACTCTCGCTCGGCCGCTTCCAGAGCCGCCGCCGCCGCCGCCGCCCGCCGCCCGCCGCGCACGCAAAGGCCGCGGGGGAGAAGCCGAAGCCCGCGGCGTTTCCCAACAACCCTCGGCTCACCCAGAAATTCTCCACGAAATGCGCCATGACCATCGTGCCGCCGCCGTCCGCGTCCGCACCCGCCCGCCGCTGTGTAAACACGGACCGGCCTCCACGGCGCCCCCGCCTCTCGCCACCGCCGCCGCCGCCGCCGCCGCCTTCTTCCCAGAGACCGCCCTCCGCCCTCCAGGGCGCATGCGCCACCTAGCGGCCGCCGCGGGTCGAGCTCCCGGGCGCCGCCGCCCCGAGTGCGCGTGCGCGCGGCCCGGCCGGGTCCGAGCGTTCGCTGGGAATGTGCAGAACTTGAAGTCTCTGCGAGGCGCCCCGGCTGGCGGGAGCGGGGCGACCCACAGGCCCCGGGAGGGGGGGGGGGGGGGGCGGAGCGAAGGAGGCCCCGCCCACTCGTGAGTCCAGCGCCCGGGCCTTCGAGGATCTCCAACAAGACCCAGGGCTTGGCAGGCTGGGAGTAAGGAAACTTGGCCGCTGGCCACCCCGAGGAGACTGGGAAACCTTTGGTCAACAGGGAGCCTTTCCTTGACTGGGAAGTAAGATCCAAAACAAAACTCCCCAAGGCCGGAAAGGGAGGAAACGCCCAGTGTCGCCTGCAAGACTCAGGCACTGCTGCTGCCGGTCACAAGGGAGCCAGCCAGCCTGGACCGCCTGACGAGAGCAGGCGTGACCCGAACCGTGACCCTTCCAGGCTTGTTCACCAAGCCCACGGTAATCTTACCAACTTGTACACTCAGGGAAAAGACACAAGTTTTAACATGCCTCGGCCTAATGGAGAAACTAAATCCCTTTTGCATGCCTTACTTTCCAAAAGCAAAAACTTTAGAGGTCTCAAGTTCATTAAGCCAGGTCAAAAATCTACAAAGCCAAGCTCCACAAATAATTTAGTGTAGTTTTAACTACAGTATGCACACCGCGCCTCCCAAGATCTTGTTTTCAAACATGAACACGATAACACTTTCTTCATGGGAAATTATTTCCCTCCCTGAAAGTAAAAACCTTGCATTGTCTTTCATATGGATGAAATGTAAAAAGATAACTAGATAATGGATATCCTCCATAAATATTCATGTTATGATAAGACATCTATGATCTGCTCTAAAGTATTTCATAGCAGTGAGGCAAAAGACTACGGTACAGATGAAACGAGATTGGCCATGGTATTTGTGGTTTGATGGTGGGAAATGCTGGTTTCATATGCTACTTTAGAAGATTTATGTGTATGAGTGTTTTGTCTGCTTGTTAGGTGTGTGCTCCATGTGTGTGCCTGGTACCCAGTGAGGCCAGAAGAGGTTGTGGGATCCCCTGGAACTGAAGATAACAGACAATTGTGAGCCACCCAGTGGGTGATGGAATTGATCGGAGTCCTCTGCAAGAGCAGTCATGCGCCTCACCACTGAGCCATCTCTGCCGTTTTTTGTTTTTGTTTTTGTTTTTTATATGTTAACTCTTCTGTTCCTTTAAAATAAATATTTGGTTTAGTTCTATAAGCCATCAGTCTAGTTAGATTATCCTTGATGCTGAAGAGGTAAGAAAATCCTGCCAAAAGGAGTAAGAACTTGCACCCTGCAAAAGAGGTAGACATCCAGTTCCTAATATCACTTGGTGCTACCCCCTTAGACGCAAGAAGGGCTCCTGAGTTCTAGGCATTAAATGACTCTGTGTGTGTGTGTGTGTGTGTGTGTGTGTGTGTGTGTGTGTGTGTGTGTCAGAGAGAGAGAGACACAGAAAGAGAAACACACACACACACAATCAAAAGAAAACCTACACAGGAGACTCTGTTAATGGTGATCTAAAGGTAAACACCGACCCCCAACCATAAATCTCTCCCATGACCAACACTATTCAGGTCCCAACAAAACTATGTCTTTTCCCCTCTGTCCTCAAACTAAAAGGTAACTTGCAAACGCGATGAAAATTTGTGGGAGGTATGGAACGACTACCCACATCAGAAGCAGGCAGCTTTGGAATTCAGGCAGATGTGAGCCACTGAAGAGCTTTCAGAACGGAAGGGTGACTTGCCAAACCCTTCCTCTCAGTTTGAATGCAGTGGGTTCTTGCACAACAAAAAGTGTTGTTTCCCAGTAGTGTCAAGCACAGATTCGCCTTCTCTTGAGGTTCTAATTTGTGGTTACAACTATTTAGCTGAGTGCTCACAAATAGCTGTGGCTGCTACCCAGGCCACCATTTTGTTCTTAACTCTGGTCTCATCGATATCAAGGATGTCTGCCGTGAAGGTAAATTAAATACTCCTCTGTGTGTTTCAAGTTCGTAAGGTTCATTGTTTGGTAATTTACCTGGTATTTAAGTTGGAGAACTTTATAAACAGTGATTAAGGTGGCTGAATTTCAGTAAAGATGGCATAATACAAGAAGAATGTGGGTGGCATCCGTCACCTTCTGTCCTTTCAGTGACGTTCCCAGGGATGCGCAGCTACTCTAGCCAAGTTAAGGCCCTGAGTGGGTAGCTCACTCGAATGCCTTAAAGTATAATCGATCTACACACTTAACCTTTTTTTTTTTTTAACCCAAATAGACTTTGAAATTATTATTAAAAGCCAGCAGGTCTAACAACAATATACAACTCTTCCTGCCACCTGATACCAGTCACCTGACAGTTACTCAGTTAATGTTTGGTGACTCAATCAATCATTAAGGCTGTCATAAACATGTCAAGGTGGCCGAGTCCTTGGCTAGGAAGCAGCTCCATGCTTTTACACTTGCTCTTTAGTTGATGCTAATCCTATACCTTATAAAAGTATGAAGTTCTGCCTGGTTGAACTTTTCACCTTAGTTTAAATATTTTCAAACGAATTCTTACGGGCTCGGTCATCCTTTTTACTGAGTACCAGTTTTAGTAAAACTAAGATAAAATTGAAAAAAAGTGATGAAGATATGCTTTATCGGGAGGTCTCCTTTGTTCAAGGGGCTCGACTTTTGAGCCTCTGTTTTGAGGCATCCTCATCAGATTTTTCCTTCCACTTAGGATTTTTCATCACACCTGCCATAAACATGCTGGTTTCTGGGGAGAGGCTGTTGTTCCCCATTAGATTCTTACCCAAGCGTAGACATTATAGCCCAAAGCATTCCTGGGCTGTTAACTCATAATGAGTGGTAGCAAATGAGAGAAGGGAAAATTTACATGAAATCAGTCCAGAACTTGGGTTTATAAAATATGGCTTATGTCCAAGTTCAAAGGCCTGTTCTATTAGGCAATAGAACACGTCCACTTTTGCATTCCGTGGTATGCATATGACCTTCCCATCCGGCTTACAGCTCAAAGCACATTAGTCAACATTTAGTTGCAAGGTCTATTTCCTCATAACCACGTTGAGAACTAGTTTCATTTCAGAGGAGTGGCCATAAAGTAAAGCAACATTTCCCCATTTGTTTTCGATGTAATTTTATAAATACAGTTCACTAATTCCTCAGATGAGAGAGGCACAGGAAAAGCTCATGTGGACCCGTTCCCTGCTATTCCCCTCACGAGGCAGCATCCTGTGGCAGGTGCAGGGATCTTTCTCGGTACTCATACTCAACAATAACAAGAGGGAAAAGAGCAGGAGAGGAAAAGACACATCTCTGAAATCTGGAATATTCTCTCTCTCTCCTCTCTCTCTCTCTCTCTCTCTCTCTCTCTCTCTCTCTCTCTCTCTCTCTCTCTCTCTCTCTCCCTACTCAAGAACAAGCATATTGAAAGCAAAGGCTTTATGCGAAACAGAAAAAACAAAGATTTAGCAGATGGTAGCCAGGCAGGCTGCACCCTGAGGGCTGAGAGGTAGAAACGAGCCGCCCCAATGGCAGAAGAGAACTGAACGCCGCCCCCTGCACAGCCGCCTCTGTGCTGATCATGCAGCCAGGCACACTTCTCTCTTCGGGTCACTTGGGACTGGCAGCCATTAGAGGTGGCCTCATCCCTTCCTCTAGAATGAGATGTGTTTTCCCCCAAGGGCTCCCTTACCTTGCTGTCTGTGGAAGAAGCATAACACACCCGACAGGCTCAGGGGTTTACACCACTAGTGGCCACAGAGAACCCAACAGAACTTTCAAAACTAAGCGCGAAATTAGAGTCGCAAAGGCAATAAGAGCGTAAAGACATTCATAAGTGTTTGTCATAAATGGTAGGTGGAAAGGCGGAAGATGATATGGTAAGTACATTAAAATTACAAATACACAAAAAGGGACAGAGATAAGAATAAGATAGAAAAATGAAAACAATGTTTAGACTAATAATTGCTAAGTACTTAATTTTATTTTAGTATAATGACAATATCCAAAGTAAAGAGCAATTCCTGTTCTCTTTGTTTAAAGTAACTGGGCCTGATGTTCTTTAATTGGGCCTGATGTTCTTTAATAATGCTTTTCACTGGCCCTTCCCTTCAGTAGCTACTTATTGAGCATTTGTACAATAAAAGAAAATCAAAATCCGACATGGTGGGGACTATGAAAGTTTCGGTAAAGTGTGTGGACCTGGCGCACAGGTGGTAACAACACATGCGTGTTCAATGAATAACCGAATTTCAGAGGAGTTCATTGTTTCCAAAGGGTCCGCTCACAGAAATCAGTCTTTCCTCCTTTCTTTTTCTCTCATAAAGGAGTGACAAGAAATTGTCTTGGGTTCACTATGGTTATCGGCCTTTAGCACAGTGGACTGGGGATCCGTGAATAGTGGTGGCCAGAGTGACTTTCCATGGCTGGCTAGCTCCCTAGCTGAGTGAACCACACTAGGAATTACGCTAGTGCAGCCCAAGCAAGAGGCACTGTTGGCTGAGCTGTGAATGGGGGAAGTAGATGTGGTTGTCCTTAAAGATCCTCTGGAGCCTGGACAGGGATCTGAGTCTGGTTGGTATGGCTTGAGTACGGGTCCTGTCCCGTGAGTTCATGTCAGAAGGCTTAGTCTCCAGGATGGTGAGGTTAAGATACTTGGACCTTTAAGAAGTGGGCCTAATGGAAATAATCAGGCCATCGGGGCACTACCCTTGGAAGGGATTAATGCAGGTCTCATGGAACTGGATTAGTTCATGCAAAAAAGGACTGCTATAAAGAAGCCAGGCATCTCCTGTGAATTCTTCCTCAGATACTGCTTACTGCTCCCTTGCATTCCATCACTGTGGTACCATCTACCAAGACGCCTTCACTAAAGCTGGCGGCAGCTGCCTGTGCCGGGCGCTTCAGTTTTCAATTTCCAGAACTCTGGGCTTGATTGGGTTTGAAGCCTGCTCCACAGCAAGGAGTCATTGCCTGATGCTGTAAAAGTCCATGGCTAGGGAGATCTCGAGCTCGGGGGAACCTACCATTGTTTTGCTAAATGAACACGGTGTCAACTGTCTTCTTTTGTATCTATTCCCATGGACTAGAGCTGCTCTCAGCCTTGACCAGAACTTCTGTTTGTAGTGAGCAACAGGTTTTGAAGAGATTCATAACTGGTCAACGTGCTGAGACAGTGACCGTTGAACACGCAGTCCCTGAATGGCTCAGGAAACATCAAGGAACAGGTCCTGAAAAGATTGGAAGTGCCCGAGGATGGGGAGGAGTGCATTAAAAAACCCACTGAGTTTAACCAGGGTCATGCGGTCGTGAACTCACAGCAGCCATGGTTGTCTGCATAGATGGAGCCCTGTCAACATTCCGTAGTAGATGGGAGGAAGGCTCATGAGTCTCCAGTTTCTTCCTGAGGGACCGTTGGCAAGGTGGTTGCTAAGGGAAGGAGATTCCTTTCCTCTGTGGTGTAGTCACTAGCAGGTTGCCCTTGCTCCAAAACAGTCTCCAACTCGTGTTCACGAAAGCAACCCTAATTAAACAGTGGCATACACACACACACACACACACACACACACACACACACACACACACACACACACACACGGACCGTCTCTCTCTCTCTCGCTCTCTCGCTCTCTCCTGCCAGCTTCTGGAAACTGTTTTAGCTTCATTCTTTTTTCTCTCTTCCACTCAGATTTTCTGTATAGCTTGTTTTTGCAAGGGCTTGTGATAAAAGCTCTCAATATGGTCTGCTCTCCCTCCCTCTCTCCCTCCCTTTCTTCTCTCTCTCTCTCTCTCTCTCTCTCTCTCTCTCTCTCTCTCTCTCTCTCTCTCTCTCTCTCTCTCCCCCTTTGTTTTTTAAGACGGGGTTTTCTCTGTGTAGCCCTGGCTGTCCTGGAGCTCACTCTGTAGACCAAGCTGGCCTCGAACTCACTAAGATCCACCTGCCTCTGTCTCCTGAGGGCTGGGTCAGAGGTGTGCCACACTACTACCACCAGGCTCATCCTTGGTCTTTCTGTGTAACCCAAACAAGACTCAAATTTGCAATCGTCGTGTCTCAGCCTCCCAAGTACTAGGATTATAGGTGTGCAATGCACCACCATACCCAGATCTTTTTGGTTTTCTTTTTAAAACATTTTTATTGATTTATTCTTTGACAACTCATACATGTATAAAGTACACTGTGATTAGTGTAACTCTCACCCTTTCCCCTCATTCCTATATCCCTCCCTCCAAGTCCCTTTTCCAGATCCAAGTCTTTTTTTGTTTTAGTCCACTGAGTTTAGCCAGGATCATTTGCCTGACCATGGGTTTGGAACTCTGCATTGGATCCTGGAGTTCTTAGTAATTAGTCAGAGAAACAACAGCTTCCTATGCTGTTTTTAGTTCTGCGTAGTAAACGCATCCTTCATTAAATCTGTGAATTCTTCGAGGTCTCTACTATCCCTAGAGTCCTCAGCGGACACACAGCTGAACAATGACTGTCCCTTCCCCTAAAATCCTTCAGTAGCCAGTAGTTCAGTGGGAATGGTGGGGCCTTTGTTTGTTTGTTTGTTTTTTGAGACAGGGTTTCTCTGTGTAGCCTTGGCTGTCCTGGAACTTGCTCTGTAGACCAGGCTGGCCCGGAACTCACAGAAATTCACCCGCCTCTGCCTCCTGAGTGCTGCATGATGGACTGCTGGTAGACCTGGTCTTGTGTAGGCCCACTGCAGACAACCACAGCTGCTGTGAGGTTTGAACTGTGGTGTGCCCAGAAGACAGCATTTCAGAAGCCCTTCTCTTAGAGTCTTTCCAGTCCCCCCTCTTCAATGATCCCTAAGCCATAGAAGTGGTGGTATAGACGTCCTGTTTTCCTTCATTTGTTTCTACCTGGCCTTTTGAATTAGGAGGCAGTTTAGGAAGAATATGGGTGTATATGCAGGCACATGAACTTATGCACTCTCTCCTCCTCATCCCTCTCCTGGAGTTTTTTGCCTTTATCTCCACAGACCCATTTTCCTCAGTATTATAACCCAAATTTCTACCCACAAAAGAAGACCTTTGGCATACAACTTGAGTCTCAATATGAAAATTGTGTATTTGTCTTTTAATGATTTACTTGAGGTAAACACCACTAAAATACTGTCTATAAACGTGTGCACCTTTCTGGGGGTATCTTCACATGTATTTCCTTCCTTGGGAGAGGCAAGAATTCATATTGGCATGTCACTTCAGATGCTTCCTGTACTGAGAAAATATGCTCCAGGAAATTAAGAGTTGTCTAAGGTCTCAAAACAAGTAAATGGGGCAGGGGGAAGCTGTTGTAAATGTAGCCACGTGAAGAAGGAATGGAACAGGCTGGGAAGGTGACTCTGTCAGTGAACGCTTGCTGTCGAAACACAGGACCACAATTTGATCCTCAGAACCCACAAAAAAGAGCCATGTACGACGCTATAGTTTATAATCCCAGCACTGGCGTGGCCCAAGGAAGGATACCCAAGGTTGACCTCTGCCCTACCCCCCACTTCCCCACCATGAACACACAGAGAGGCATAGGCAAAGTGTTACTGAGGGAAGTGAGACCTTGAGCACCAAGACACGCTGAAAGAGGGAGCATTAAGGAGAAAGTTAAACATGGAGCCAGGGTTTTAATTTCTGGTTTTCATTATATATACATATATATGTTTTAAACTGGTGGGGTCTGTGTTCAACAGTTTTTACCTTTTCTCCATAAGTAGATCTTTTCTTTGGCTTCCTTCTCCCTAAATGTAGGTATGACATGTTTTGATATGATGTGGATATAAATGTTAATAAAGATCCCATAAAATTTTAAAGACATTTATTTACAACATCCTGTTTAAAAAGTTTTTTTTTTTGTCTCCTTACTGTCAGCTCTAAAGTGTAATTGTTCAAAAACTCAAAGTCTAATAAAAATATAGGGCTGACCCACCCTAAACAGGACATCTGGCTATTGTATTAAAAACTGGTCCCTCTGGGTTGAGGACTTTGTATTAAAAACTGGACCCTCTGGGTTGAAGATGCAGCTCCATGGTAAAGCATGTGCTTAATATGTGTAAGGCTGGTTAAGTGGGGTGAGGGGGTTCAGTCCAAAGCTCTGAGGAAGGAAAAAGAAAAAGCTTTTTTATAGGTAGGAGGAAACAGAAAATCAAGTCAGCCTATGGCTGTACCTACCGCTGTCCATTAAAACCCTTAAGGACAACCACCACATTGTCTACAGAACCCTTTGGCAGGGGTGGGGGTGGGGGGGGGTGGGGGGGCAGGCACTCAAAGTCAACCAGACTAGATTCAAATGCAGGAAGTAAGGCTAGGGTTACTTAGCTTAGTGTCAAGAGCATCTATGGAGCATGTATGTGCACACACACAGACACAGACACACACACACACACACACACACACACACACACACACAAACATGAAAAGTAAGGAAATGACATTGACATTTTGGGTCCTAGTTTAAAATCCTATTAGATGACATCTGCCTTTATATATTTTTTTCTTTACTGTGTTTCAAGAACATACACTGTCACCAACTGTTTATTTTTTCTTCTTTCTTCCCCATTTAGGCCCATAAATATAGGTTGTTGGTTTTTTTGGTTTTTTTTTTTATTCCTACCTCCCACATGCCAGCTAAAAACATTTCTTTCCTTTGTTCAAAGTTGTCTTCAAATATGCCTTCCAAGAAAAGAATGTCACTGAAACATTATTCTTGCTATAATATCCCTTCTGTTTCTTTTCTGTGCATGCGACTGATGGATGCAGCCTTTCAGTGGAGTAGTCTAGAGCTGAGACTAGAGCCATATCCTTTGTTTATAACATCGTTTTTGCTCTCGCCTTGCAGGTATGTGCATTTGACCAGTGTTCCTGTGTGTCTGTTAATGGGGAAGCAGATGTTCTTGTTTCTTCTCTCCTTAAAAATGCAACATGAGCCGGGCAGTGGTTGCACACACCTTTAATCCCAGCCCTCGGGAGGCAGAGGCAGGCAGATCTCTGTGAGTTCGAGGCTAGCCTGGTCTACAAAGCAAGTTCCAGGAAAGACTCCAAAGCTACACAGAGAAACCCTGTCTCGAAAAACAACAACAACAACAAGAAAATGCAACATCTCAGGGCTGAGTGGTAAAGAGTACTGGCTGCTCTTCCAGAGGACCCGAGTTCAATCCTCAGCACCCACATGACAGCTCCCAACTATCTGTAACTCCAGTTCCAGGGTAACTGACACTCCCACACAGACACACATGCAGGCAAAACACCAATGAACATAAAATAAAAATAATTAAAAAAACAAAACAAAAATGCAACAACTAGAACTTTTCACTTTGTGCCTGGCTTCCATATTTGGACTGGACTATAAGAACTTGCAGCTCTAGCTGCCCATTTATTCCACAAACATTTCTTATGTCCCTGTTGTGTGTTGGCCTATCTTAGGTGTGTGAAGAGAACCGATGAATCCTGTTTTGAGTTCTTACAGCCAGAAGGACTAGACAAGAGAATACACAGTATAATGTCTGTGAGTAGATACCCAGGAGGCTGATAGATAAGTACAATGTTAAAACATAAGCAAATGTTGAAACAGCAGTATAGTGTTGTAGTGAAATAGTCCATGCAGGGTGGATACAGTTGATAACAATATATTGTACTTTTCAAAATCACTGAACCTTTCGTTTTCAGTGCTGAGGATCTAACTCAGAGCCTAGCTCATGTTAAGCAAGTGTGCTATAACTCCCAAGCCCAGGAATAGATTTTAATTGTTCTTACTACACACATGAAAATAAGTATGTGAGATAATGCATGTTAGTCTTTCCACACTGTCCATCTATGATACATATATAATTTTCAAATAAAAAGTAATGTGGGCCAGGAATGTTGTGCACCCTTTTTCTTTTTCTTTTCTTTCCTTCCTTCCTTCCTTCCTTCCTTCCTTCCTTTCTATTTTGTTGTTGTTTTTTTTGTTTTTCAAGACAGGGTTTCTGTGTAGCCCTGGCTGTCCTGGAACTCTCCCTGCAGAGCAGGCTGACCCCGAACTTAGAGATCCGCCTGCCTCTGCCTCCCTAGTGCTGGGATTAGAGGCGTGAGCCACCACCGCCCCTCTGCTGTGCACACTTCTCATTCCAGTACTCAGGAGGCTGAGGTAGAAAGATTACACATTTGAGGTCAGACTGGGCTCCCTAGTAAGACCTGTCTCCAAAAGGGTGTTGGGGGTGGGGTGGGGCTTTGTAATGGGGTCAGTGGTAGAGCACATGCCTAGTACATGTGAGGACCTGAGTTTAGCCCCCTTCACTGCAATAATAAGTTTTTGCTTTGTTTTGTTTTTTAAAGGACAAATGAGGGACCATATCGGAATGGTTCTAAAATGAAGCTGCCCGGGTTAGTATCCAGGCTGCCATTTATGAGCTCTCTGACCTTAGGAGGATTGCTTAACCACGTGTCTGACTCAGGTTGCTCAGCTGTAAAGTAGGGGTAATAGTACCTACTTCAAAGAGTTGCTATAATGAATCAAAACATGTAAAACTCTGAGACTAGTACCTGCATTGTAATCAACACATCAACTGGAAGCAGTTAACACTGTTAAGAACAGGGAACAAGGGAGCTGTTTCAGAGAGCGTATCCACGTGGACCTATCGGAAGAGAGAGAAGGAGTTTGTGGGTTCTGTAAGAACCCGCCAGGGAGAAAAGCAAGTGTAAGTTAGAGCAAATGAGGCAGAGAATAAGGCCAGGGCTAGAGGACCGAGGGCCTGGAAGAACTCTTCTGATAGGGCTCTCAGAGCCTTGGTCATCAGAGGGTTTTCAGTAAAGGAATGTCATGACCAAATGCTTAGAAGGTCCATCTTGCTGTGATGTGAAAAATAGGTTATAGGAGTAGATGATGGCAGGTCGTTAAACATCCCCAGCACACCACTAGATTCAAGATGCATCACATCTTCAGTAGAAAAACCATGGCAGGCTGAGCGAGCGTGGTGGTGCACACCTTTAATCCCAGCACTAGGGAGACAAACGCAGGCAGATCTCTGTGAGTTCGAGGCTGGCCTGGTTACAGAGTGAGTTCTAGGACAGCCAGGACTACACAGAGGAAGAAACACTGTCTCAAAAAACAAAACAAAACAAAACAAAACAAAACACGAAAGAAAAAAAAAAAGGAAGGAAGGAAAGGAGCTTGAGCTTGAGGGTGAGGGGCTGGAGAGATGGCTCAGTGGTTAAGAGTGTGTGCTGCTCTTCCAGAGGACTGGGGTGTGGTTCCCAGCACACACAGCAAGTGGCTCATAGCACCTTATAACCCCTGCTCCAGATCTGATGCACTCTTCTGGACTCCACATATATACATAATTAAAAAATTTTTGAAGTCTTTGTCAGGTGGGGTGTGACAGGCCTTTAATCCCAGCACTCAAGAGGCAGAAGCAGATGGATGGTTCTCTGTAAGTTCAAAACCAGCCTGGCCTACACAGTGAGTTCCACAGTAGCCAGAGCTACACAGTGAGACCCAGTCTCACAGTGGGCTACACAGTCTAAAAAAGGAGATTGACTCTTGTATCTTCCAAGTTTTGCTTTGTGTCAATGTTAAAAACAGATGAGCTTTAACATTTAAAGGGGAAATTTTACCCGGATGTTAAAAAAAAAAAATGGTGGTAGCCTTGGGGTTAAAGGTTCTTGCTGTAACCAAACATATGAGTCTGGTTTGGATGCTTGATATGAAAAATGCAAACATCACTAGTGAGGTGATGAGTATATGATATATGATGAAAATAAACTAAAATGAAAATATTTTGCTGGGCTGGGGATGTAGCTCAGTGGTAGAGCTTGACAAGCATGCACAAGACTCTAGGTTCAGTTCTGAGCACTAAAAACAAACAAAAAGATGTTTTTTCATTTTGATTTTTTTCTCTTCAATGACAATTTGGCTGTTGTCAATTGTGTAAAAATTATTATTTAATACTTTATCCTCGATTTTAGTAGTAGTCTACTATTCCAAGCAGTAAATACATGTGACTTCTACTAAACTCCAGCCTAGGACAGATGACTTAGTGGTTAAGGACACATAATGCTCTTTCAGAAGACCCAAGTTAGGGTCCTAGTACCCAAGTCCAGCAGCTCACAATCATTGTGCTTCAAGCTCCAAGGGACTTGACACCCTCTTTTGGCCTTTGCGGGCACTTTTCTCTTGTGTCCATATGCACACAGAGACTTACAAAAATACATAATTCAAAAGCCAAATCCTTAAATTTCAGCCTGAATTGTTTTTAACTTATAAACCTTCCTGCCTAAAAGATTATCTATTTTTTAAAAGAAAATTTGAAAGATTCAGGTGCGAATGTTTTGCCTACATGCATGTATGTGTGCCACATGTGTGCCCAGTGCCAATGAGGGGCAGAACAGGGCATCAGATCTCCTGGTGCTGGAGTTAAAGATGGTTGTGAGCCACCACGTGGGTCCTGGGAACCGAACCTGGGTCCTTCTGCAAGAACAAGAAGTGCTCTTAACTACCGAGTCAGCTCTACATCTCCTGGTCTATTTTCTTAAGAGTCAATAACATTTATTAAAATCCGCATTTTTAAAGATGCTTCACATGCTTTATTGTGTGACACTGTACAAGCTAAGGTAGACTACATCATCCTAGTACACCCCAAAAGTGGTACTAAAAGATGACAGAAGCCTGTGTCTCCCTAAGGTAAAGGGCTAAGGCAGGAATTCCAAGTAAGATGTCTTCTGTCTACATAGAGGTTCAAGGACACTTAGTCATTTCTTCTTCTTTTGGAAGTGTGGACTTTCGTTTCTGGTAAGGAGATGGTTGTCAATGATGAAATAAAGCCAATGTCTTTATTTCTGGACTGTTCTTCTGAATTTTGTATTTATTTTAAATTAACAAGTGAATATCTTTTTTTTTTTTCTGAGACAAGGTTTCTTTGTGTAGCCTTGGCTGTTCTAGAACTAGCTCTGTAGCCCAGGCTGGCCTTGAACTCACAGAGATCTGCCTGCCTCTGCCTCCCCAGTGCTGGGTAAAGGCATGCACCAGTATCACCGGGCAACAAGTGAATATCTTAAGTATTCTTAACTGCTTATATTGAAAGATACCAATCATGCATTCATGAAGTTATCTTTTTTTAAAATTTGCATTGGTATTTTGCCTGCATATGTGTCTGTGTGAGGGTGTCAGATCTTGGAGTTAGAGACAGTTGTGAGCTGCCAAGTGGGTGCTGGGAATTGAACCCGGGGTCCTCTGGAAGAGCAGTCAGTGCTGTTACCCACTGAGCCATCTCTCCAGCCCCTGAACTTATCTTTCATAATAACTATTTCCAATCTTTTTAACTTGTACAGTTTTTCACGTTTTAAAGTTATAGCCTATGTACCTGTGTTATGCTATGTACAATGTATACACTGCTTTCTGTGACTTCCCACTGGTTAACACTGGTAAATTTATGTTTTCTTTCCAGTTTTCCATGGGTTATGATACCTCAAGTTTCATCAACATAAAGAAAAATATGAAGCCGGGCAGTGGTGGTGCATGCCTTTAATCCCAGCACTTGGGAGGCAGAGGCAGGTGGATCTCTGTGAGTTCGAGGCCAACCTGGTCTACAGAGGGAGTTTCAGAACAGCCAAGGCTACACAGAGAAACCCTGTCTTGAAAAACATCAAAGAGAGAGAGAGAGAGAGAGAGAGAGAGAGAGAGAGAGAGAGAGAGAAAGAAAGAAGGAAAGAAAGAAAGAAAAATATGACTTCATGTTTTATCCACTCCCCTTTTATCAAACAGGGTCTTGTTTGTACCCCAAGCTGGTCTTGAACTCACAATTCAACAGTCTTAGCTTCTTGAGTGCTGAGATTACCAGCACGTGCTGACATACTTGACTGGTCTCCATGATTATAATCCTCCATGTTTTGTGCTCATTCAGTGAAGTTTAATTTTATGGAGACTAGTTTATTTTATTTATTTATTTTTTTTTTGAGACAAGTCTTACTCAATAACTCTGGCTAGCCTAGAAGTTGCTATGTAGACCAGGGTAGCCTCAAACTCACAGAACCTGCTTCTACCTCCTGAGTGCTAGGTCTGCTTCTACCTCCTGAGTGCTAGGATTCAAGGTCTGTGCTACCACCTAAGGCCTAGAGATTAATTTTTAAAAAGTTAATCAATAATCCAGATGTGGTGGTACACGCCTTTAATCCCAGCAATTGGGTAACAGATGCAGGCAGATCTCTTCGAGTTTGAGGCCAGTCTGGTCTACATAGTGAATTCCAGGACAGCCAGGGTTACATAGTGAGATCCTGTCTCAAAAAACAAAACAAACAAACAAACAAAAAACCAAACAACAACAAAAAACCTCAAAAAAAAAACAAATAAAGAAAACAAAAAGTTAATTCATAAAAATAACTCATGACAATTTGGCGCTTTTTTTTTACCTGTTGGACAGTGAACCTGTGTTGTCTGCCATTTACTGGGCCAGAACTTTTTTCTCATCCCTCAAAACACACTTTAAAAATATTGTTTCACAGACTGCTGGCAATGGTCGAGAGATAGCCCGAACTGACCTACTCTGGTGATAGGATGACCAAACACCCTAATTGTCGTGCTAGAAACCTCATCCAACTACTGAGGGATCTGGATGCAGAGATCCATGGCTAGACCCCGGGTGGATCTCTGGGATTCCAATTAGTGAGAATGAGGAGGGTTTATATGAGCGAGAATTGTTGAGACCAAGGTTGGATAAAGCACAGGGACAAATAGCCAAACGAATGGAAACACATGAACTGTGAACCAATGGCTGAGGGGCCCCCAACTGGATCAGGCCCTCCGAATGGGTGAGACAGTTGATTGGCTTGATCTGTTTGGGAGGCATCCAGGCAGTGGGACCAGGTCCTGTGCTCATTGCATGAGTCGGCTGTTTGAAACCTGGGGCCTATGCAGGATCACTTGGCTCGGCCTGGGAGGAGGGGACTGGACCTACCTGGACTGAGTCTACCAGGTTGATCTCAGTCCGTGGGGAAGGCTTTGCCCTGGAGGAGATGGGAATGGGGGGGGGGGGGGGGAGGTGGGGGGAAGGTGAGTGGGATGGGAGGGGGGAGAACAAGGGAATCCGTGACTGATATGTAGAACTGAATTGTATTGCAAAATAAAAAAAAAAATATTGTTTCATAGTTCCTATGATTTTGAAAAGCAATTTAAATGAAGGTACATTCTTATTTGTTTTCCGGGGTTCTGTGAGAGAGGCAAGGGTTGGATTCCATTCAGCAGAAATTCTCCTTCTCACAGCATATCTCCGTGTGAATCATCTCTGTTAGACTGTCTTCTCAGCAGCTTCTGAGGTTAACCCAAATGTGTCACAGTACAGCCTTCCTCTTCTCTCTTCAACAGCATGCTACTTCCTGGAAGAATCAGAATTAATCTGCGTTATTTCTTGCTCAGATCTACTCCTCAGCTTCTGGTCAGCTCCAAACAATCTTGACCACTAAGACCTCATACCGCTAGTGCGAGAATGGGACTATTGGTCTGTTTGTTTGTTTAAGACAGGGTCTTTCTATGCAGCCCTGGCTGTCCTGGAACTCACTCTGTAGACCAGGCTGGCCTCGAACTCACAGAGATCCACCTGCCTCTGCCTCCTGAGTGCTGGGATTAAAGGCGTGCGCCACCATGCTGGGCTGGGACTATTGGTTTTTCATTTCTGGCTCTGCACTCAGCTTCGGAGTCCTGAGCTCTGGCGGCTTCTCAGTCCACAGCTAAGCTCAGGTCTTCCAGTGTCTGTGACCAGTCGGCAGCCCTCCTTCCCACTTAGGTCTTTTCGTTTTACAGATGTGGAACTGGCATTCTGGCTTCTCATTCTTGTTGCTTTTAGTTTCTGAGAGGCAGAAACGACCTAACTTTTCTTTGTCTTGTTAATATTTGGATAGCTTTGTACTTTAAAAAAATGGATTTAGTTAGGGTGCAAATCAGGGGTTCCGTGATCACAGTTTCACTATAACAGCATTATGAGTTGCTCACGTTTACCCCTCCACCCCGCCCTCTCAATCCTCCCCCATCTTGCTGGTGCCTTCCCTCCCTGCCAAATGGTTCCCCTTCTGCTTCTGCGTCATAGGCATGCATCTGTATAACTTCTGCACGTAAGAAAACGGGCACCGTTTGTCCTTCTCCTCCTCTCCGCTCCGCTTTCTTCCTCCCGTATGGCCCCGTACACTTTCATATCATATACACGTGCATACATATACATGCAAGTACTTAAGTTTAGATTTAAATAGATTTCACGAGAAAACATGCTTATCTGAGTCACTTAACATGTTCTCCACTCATCTCCCTCCAGATTGCATAGTTTTAATTCTTCCTTGTGGCCACATAAAACTCCATTGTGTATGTGTGGCACATTTTCTGTATCCATCCGCGGCTGATGGGCATCAAGCCTAAGCCCCACAGCATGGCTGTTGTGAACAGTGCTGCAGTAACACGCAAGTGCCAGTGTCTCTGTGGTCCCCAGGGTCTTAGCTGTACTTCATGCAAAGTTCGCATCAGTTCCCATCAACTTTTGATATGTGAGGGTGGCCCTGCACTGCTCCTGATTTCGGTACTCTTTTTTTAAGCTCCTGTCTTCCCACAGCCTGTTGATTCCTTACTTCCTGTCCCTGTTTGTAGGTGCATGAAATCCTCACTTCAAATGGGAACTGTTTACTCAGTTATGAATACAGAGTTTTGGTTAGGGGAGGGACAGGCTGTAGGTGACTTGACTTCTTGGCCTCTCCTCCCTGACCGTCCAGGGCATTGTCCTTGTCCTCCAATCATAGCTTGCTCTGGAGCTGTGGTGTTTGGTAAATGTTTAACGACCAGCTTGGGGGTGAGGGTTCACCCTGGTTTGCAGCATTTCCTAATTTCCATACAAGGTGAACTCTCCCCTCGAGCCATACAGTATCACTGAATGGCATGGGTGGGAAGAGCCTGGCCTGCCTCCCTCCCTCCCTCCCTCCCTCCTTTCCCCTGGTCAGGTCTGACATGGATGGGAAGAGCCTGGCTTCTCTCCCTCTCCCCAGTCAGATCTGCTGTAGCAGATCTGATGGGGAGCTAGTTTCTGCAGCCCCAAGTTCTTACGGGGACTGGCTTCAGCTACTTCACCAACTATCCTGTTCTGTTTCATGGTTTAAGTTCTGCTCTGCTAGAATTTTCTATCAATTCTTACGTTTTGTATTTTTTTCAAAACTGTCTTACGTTTGTTTGCTGGAAGTACTCTTTCTGGTTTTTCTGTGCTGTTTTATATATAGAAAATCTGTGATTTCAGTGAAATTCACAGAAGGAAATGCAAAAGCGAGTCCTAGTTCGTGTCTTAACTTCTTTTTTTCAGAAGTCACTTCCCCTTCTGTCTCGGGAGGTCACTCCTCTCCCATGACCAGTGGCTTTCCTGAGAGCTCATTATCTTGAAAGATGGTTTAACTGAGAAGGGCCACCGAAGGGCTGCCAAGACGTTTCTGAGGAAACTCTGATAGCTCGATGGAAGTTACTGAATGCTCCACCTAAGCTCCAACTGGGGGATACACTGTTAGGTTTAGGGTGGCCATGCACACTGGCTAGAGTGGAATAGCCTACAGGTGCCTGGGCTAGGGAACAGCTAGGGTTCTGGGGGACAAGTGTTTGTTTAAGGTGATCAGTAGTAAAAGGATCCAAATGGGCATGATCGTACAGGTCAAATGAGGGGCCTCCCAGGCTCATTTAGCAAGCCCATGGAGGTGGGCAGCCCCAGCTCTCACATGAGCTGTTGAAGCCATTTGGATCTAACATCTGGGAAGTCCTCCCTCGCCAGAGCAAACTAGGCCAGGGATGGTGGCACACACTAATGAAGGCATGCTGGAAGCAGAAGCAGGCAGATCCCTTTGAGCAGGAGGCTAGTCAGTCAGGAGTAGGACTATAGAGATCCTGTCTCAAAAACAAAACCCCGCTTCCCCCGAGACTATAGCAGCTGCTCCCGACTGTTCCTTGCTTCGTTAGTAACATACATCTTAAGTTTTCTCTTCCTCCTCCTTTTGCAATCAACTAAAACCATACGTAGAAAAGCATGCTTTGGGAATCCACACACCAAGGCCAGAAGAAGCGGAAAAAAAAAAAAAAGCCCAAAACTCCTGGAAATATGACAAGAAGCAGGACCTCTGTACAATCTAAAAGACACTTGTTAATTCCAAATCTGAGAAACGCGGTCAGCGGCCTAAGGCTGGCGTTTACTAACAGGCCCGCTCACCCGGTTCTCCTCATAGAATGCTTTCTATACCAAATGCACATTTTTGGACCCAGTAAGGAAAAGAATGAACTGCAATGGCAGTACATTGTATACAGTAACGAGTTTATCCTCTTTAAAAGTGCCAATGTCGCGAAAGACCAAGGAGCCTTTCCATATGAAGGCAAGTAGAAAGAGCCACCCACGCGAGTGGCCAGGGGGCTTCCTTTTGCTGCGGTACTAGGATACTTAGTAAACCCTGAAAATATTGTAAATTTGATCTTTTTAATTTTTGAGATTACTTACCGTATATATAGCCCAAGACGGCTTAGAGCTTGGAATCCTCCTGCCTCAGTTCTGAGTGA